GGGGGCGGAGGGACTCCTTTGCGGGGGCAGGAATGCGAGGAAGGAGACGGCACTGCGGCCTCTGGAATGTGGCGGGAGTGGCGGCGGCGCAGCCGAGGTGTCCGCGCTGCGCCGGGAGCCCGGAGGGGCGCGGAGGCTGCGCTGGGACGCTGGGGCGGGCGGCTTGGCGCTGCCCCTCCGTGGTGAAGCGAGCAGCCAAGGCACGGCGCACAGTGCTTGGGGCTTGCCCTGGGCCCGAGCCGTCGGGCCTCTGGGAAGATGACGGACTCCCGCGATCTGAGCTGGAGGCTGCTGCCCCAATCCCGGCCGGAGAAATCTGAGCAGTAGGCAGACGCTTCCCACATCCTCCCCCATTTTACTTCTCAGCGGCGCCTCGGTTTCAGGCGCTGGGCCGAGCAAGTTCAGCCTTGTGCAGGCAGCGCAGCGCCAGTACCGACCCTCCAGACTATCTTGCAGATGCCCCTTAGGACCTTGCGTGAACCCACAACCTCCGGGCTGTGGGGAGGGCGCCTAGGACTAGGAGCCATGGTCGGTTGGAGACTGGTCCTCTGGCTGGGGTGCTGCACCCAGCGACCAGACGAGGCTGGAGACAGGCCTCAGGCTCAGGGCCAGCAGGCAGTGAGCCTCAGCTGTGCACACCCACGGGCAGCAGCCTTGAGGTGTGAGGACTCCTCGATTTTCCAGGGCTTCCCCTCTGAATTTTCGGTGTCGCCTGATGTAGATGCGCTTGAAAGCACTGGTGCAGCCTAAGGTGCCACAGTGGAGCCAAGAGGCCACGTGGATGGAGGTGAGCGGTCCCCAAAGGCACAAACTACAGACTTTGCCAGGATCCAGGAAAACAGTCTTGAGTGAAAGAGTTCCCTGTTTTCCAGGCACCTGTTGCTCAGAGAATTCTAAGAAGGCACCTCCAGTATCTCAGGGGGAGGGAGCCTGCTTAGGGAATTGTCCTGGCCCAGAATGACCTGGGCAGCTTGGCCTTAACATGGCTGAGGAGTCCGTTGTGGCCCCAGTTACTACAGAACCTCCCAGGGCAGGACTGCCACGAAACCGCTAACTGTAAGTTGCTTTTGCGGTTTAGAAAGGGCAATTTGGTGTTAATATCCTCACAAAACAACACCGAGGACATTCATAAGCTGTAATTTTTTTTCAGGTATTGGGGATTGCGCCTAGGCCCTTCACACTGAGCTACATCCTCAACCCTTTTTTATTTTTTATTTTTTTAATTTTTAATAAAATTCTATTTTGGGCCGCGGATATAACTTAGCAGCACAAGCGCCTGCCTGGCAATCGCTAGGTCCTGAGTTCGATTCCTGGTACCAAAAAAAAAAAAATCTGTTTATTTATTTATTTATTTATTTTCAGGCACTGTCTCCCTGAGTCACCAAGTTGCTCAGATGGGGCTCAAATTTGTGATCCTCCTGGCTCAGCCTCTTAGAGTGATGGGACTACAGGCATGGCCCACTATGCCTAGCGTGAAGCCTCTCTTTCTACCAGGCTGAGTCAACATACATGCCCTCCTCCTGGTATCTACTTTATGCCTCTCTGAGTAGGACAGAGAAGATTCAAAGCATTGACGGCCAAAGCCTTAAAGATTGATCTCCCAATCAAACAGGGCTGGGATTTGACCCTTACAGTTTGCTTCCTTCATCAAATATCAAGAGACCATCCATCTTTTCTTTCTTTCCCCTTTTTTTTGAGACAGGGTTTCTCTATGCAGTTCAGGGTGGCCTTGAACTCACTTTGTAGCCCAGGCTGGCCTCAGCCTCCCATGTTCTGGGATTACAGACATGCTCCACCACACCTAGCCCATCATCTTTTCTTACCAAGCCTTCAGGATTGAGGACCTCTGACCAAACTTGGCATTGTAATAAGAGCTCCAGTTAGCCTATAGCTCAATGGGAAGGACCTGCTTGGGGGTGCTCAGGTTAGTAGGCTTTTAGTATTGTTTTTGACCATATGGTTGGTGTTTATGACTTTCAGAAAACCTGAAAGCATCCATTGGGATCAACTGGTCCATCTGTGGGTCCTCAGATCCTCAACCCAGCACTTGTTGCTGCCATAATAAAATGAAAAATTGGGTTTCTATGCCCAATAGCTCTTAGCATCCTACTGCTTTCAAAGTTTTCTACCCGTGCTGCTGATGATGACAGTTTTCCAGTGAGTGCATCATAGTGCAGAAGAGAGATGCAATTTATATAGAAAACGTGAATAACTCTCCTGAGACTAATTTTGTGAGCGTTAAACTGTTGGGGAGCCAGGTGTGGTGGAATTCATCTGTAATCCCAGCACTCTGGAAGGTTGAAGCACGATTTTGTAAATTCAAGCCCAGCCTGGGCAATTTAAGAAAACCTTATCTCAAAATAAAACTGTTTTTTAGAAAAAGGATGGAGCCACATCCTACACTCAGGAGGCTGAGAAAGGAGGCTTGCCTCCTGTGAGGCTGTCCTGGGCTACATAGCGAGTTCAAGACCAGCCTGAACTACATAGCAAGACCTTGTCTCAAAAAACAAAAACAAAACAAAAAACTGGGTATGGTGATGCTCACCTATAATCCTAGGATTTCGGAGACTGAGGCAAGAGGATTGCTTCAAGTTCAAGGCCAACCTGGACTACAAAGTGAGTTCAAGTTCAGCCTGAATTGCATAGCAAAACCCTGTCTCAAAAAAACAAGAAAGAAAGAAAAAGAGATGGAGAGGTAGCTCAATGTGAAGGCCCTGCACTTAATCCCCAGTAAATGTTTTTTCTCAGTAAAAATACTGAAGTAAGCTGTTGAATCTGGGGAGGTAGCTGAAAGGTAAAGCAATGGCCTAGCATGGATGTGGCCCTGGGTTTATCCCCAGAACTGTAGGGGTAAAAAAGGAAAAGTAGACTGTTGACAAATTCCAAAAGTATAAAGCCTGAAAATCTTTTTTGCATTGTGTACTCTATTACAACTTTTGCTCCAAATCTTGCCAAGTCTTATGAGTCATCATCGTTGCTAGATTTAAACGTTTTAAAGTTGGAATTAGTGAAAGACATTTAGCAAAATCTCCTAAAGTGTCACTTTACCAAAGATAATTATCTTCAAAATATACACAGCCAGGCGTGGTGGCACATGCCTGTAATCTCAGCACTCAGGAGGCTGAGGCAGGAAGACTGCCATGAGTTAAAGGCCGGACTGAACTATAAAGTGAGACCCTGTTTCAAAAAAAAAAAAAAAAAAAAAAAATCAGAGAAAATATAAGCAAACTGCACAGAGCACTATAGCCCTGTATGTAGTTCAACTCAGTTAATTTATTATTATTATTGTGTTTTCATTTTTTTGGTTGTTTTTTTTTTTTTTTTTTTAGTGAAAGCAGTTAAAATTTCTCAAGCTTTTGGCCAGAATCTCTTTTGAATCGGGTGCAGGGGTAAAGAGGAATGTTCCTTCTATGAGCAGAATGCAAATAATGTATTCCCAGTCTGGAAGTATCTATAAAAATACTTCTCTAAATATATCCACCCTCAAAACAGTCAATTGAAGATTTTGGACCACAAGAATACTGCTTTAAAAATGCAGAAACTGGAGGGTGTCCTCTATCTATAAGTCACAAAGATTAGAAACATCTGCAATTTTTTTTTCTCTGTCTTCTTTGGGTTTGTGTGTGTGTGTGTGTGTTATTAGAGATTCAACTCAGGGCCTTATGTGTGCTAGGCAGGCTCTCTGTCACTGAGTTACATTCCCAGCCTTTTATTTATTTATTACATTTTTATTTTGAGACATCACCTTGTAAGGTTCCCCACACTGGTCTTTCCCCCCCACACACACTGGTCTTGAACTTTCGATCCCCTAGCCTCAGCCTCCAATAGCTGAGATTATAGACGTGTGTCACTAACCACCCAGCTTTTAACTTTTAATGTTTTTATGTCTATTACAAGACTAGTTACATGGCTGGAATCAGCACATGCTCCTGGGCTAGGGGGCAAGGACCCTTCAGACATGTGCCATTGATGGGTAACCTTTAGGCATAGGACATCTGTTATGAACAAAATGCCTCTGGGCAGCTTTCGAGTAGACTATTCTGGTGGGGACAATTCACTCTGTTTTCCCGAGGCTCAATGCCTGGGCATGGTGCACACACCTGTAACTCCAAGAACATTGTCACACCTAAGAAACTAACTTGGTGTGTGTTTTAATGCGACTGAAGTTAGAACCCAGGACCTTTGCACTGAGCTACATCCTCAGGACTCCCCACTTTTTTTTGGACACAAGTTCTTGTTCAGTCACCAAGTTGCCTAGGCTAGGGTCAGATTTAGGATCCTCCTTGCCTCGGCTTCCCCAAGTGCTGGCACTACAGCCGTGTGTCACTATGCTCAGCTTCATTTAATCTCCCTTTGTCACAAAAATTGCTATGTTCATTTATTTTGTAGAATTGGGATATGACTTTACAGTACTGCCATTGTATCCTTTTCTTTTTAGTACCAGGAATTGTACTTAGGACCTTGTGCTTGCCAGACAGGCATTGTGAGCCACTGTATCCTCTTAAATTTCTTTTAATTTAATCGCCATTTTATAAAATGCCAGTGATTGGCTGGCGTGACGTTTCATGCCTGTAATCCCAGCACTTTGGGAGGCTGAAGCAGAAGGACTGAAAATGAGTCCAGCCTAGGCAACTTACTAAGGTCCTGACTCAAAATTAAAAACGAAAAAACAGGGCCCGGGATGTAGCTCAACACAAAGGCTGAAGGTTCAATCCCCAGTACGGCAAAATACAAAAAGCCAACTACGCCTGGTATGGTGGGGCACACTTGTAACCCCAGGACTCAGGAGGCTAAGGCAGGAGGATCATCATGAGTTCAAGGCCAGCCTGAATTATAAAGCAAGACTGTCTCAACAGCCCCCCAGGGCAACAACTTACTGAAAAGCCCAGACAGTTGAGTTAGGAATTAATGGACTATCACACACTTGACTTTTTTTGGTGATAGTGTACTATGGACTGAACCCAGGGCCTTCACACTGAGCTGTAACGCAGCCCTTCTTAGTTTTTAAGAAGGGATCTCACTAAATTGCTAAATTGCCCAGAATGGGCTCAAATGTGCAATCCCTTTGCCTCAGCCTCAAGAATTCTGGGATTACATGCATGTGCCACCACATCTGGCTGTTTCTTCTGTTGTTTAACTTCTTTCTCTACTTTCTGTTGGCTGGAAGTTAAATCTAGATGCTTTAGTAGACTCAGGTTAACAATCTTTTGGCCAGGTACTGCCGTTCTTGGTATCACTAGGAAGCACCGAACATTCCCGATGGTGGTGCTAGGTCTGATCCCTAAATCGTGATGGCAGCCAGAGCCGCACACTGCTGAAACCATTCTCCTTTTCAAGTCATCTGTGCATCAGCTCTGGAGCACTGTGCCGGACGCTGTTCCTCGGCAGCCTTGCATGGAAGGCTTTTGGCATCTATTAGGATCTTTGCCTGATCAGTTGTTTCAAGCCCTACATCAGACTGTTGGGGGTTGGGGATATAGCTCAGCAGCACAATGCCTGCCTGGCAAGTGCAGGTCCTGAGTTTGATTTCCGGTACCAAAAAAAAAATAATAAATAAAAATGTTGGATCCTCTTATAGGACACGCTAAATACATAGATGAGCCTTTGGGATGATGGACTCTAGGTAAACTTGTCACCAGACTGTTTGCTAGGAGGCTGGAAGGTGATCTGACACTGTCAGCCTACAGCAGGACGGCAGCTTTTGGAAGGAATCCTGCTCCCAAGTCCCCACCCAGAAGACCCAGATCTTAAGTCTCTCCACCTCCAGGGATCTGCAGGTGGCTTGGCCTACTGTTGAGTTGGGCCAGACTTCCTTCACCTACTGGTTAGACCAGCCTTGCTGACAAACCTGGAGCTTATCGAAACAGAGGGTGAATGTACAGATACTACTAAAAGAGGTAGTGAAACCTGATATTAAGATAAAATCCTCTGGTCACACTGGGAAATGGGAAGAAAATGTTCAAAGAACAAGGGGGTCAGCAACAAGAAAAAAAAAGGAAAAAATGGAAACGAAGCTTTGGTAAATAACGGGTGGGAGGGCAGGGGAATGGGAAAAAGGCAGCAGCATAACATATACGTACATGTACGAATTTCCTGATGAATGTTACTATGTGTATCTAAAATGTACCAGTAAGCCAGCTATGGTTGCACACCTCTGTAATCCCAGCACTTGGGAGGCTGAGGTAGGAGGATTGTTGCAAGTTTGAGACCAGCCTGGGCTACAAAGTGAGCTCAAGGCCAGCCTGAACGGCATAGCAAAACTCTGTCTCAAAAGACAAAAAAATAAAATACCAATAAAAAACGTACCAATAAAATTTTCTTTAAAAAACCCCCGGTCTGCCTAGACAGATTCCCACTTACAGACTTAACTGGCATTTACCACCACTTACAGACTTAACTGGCATTTACCACTGAAATGAGAAGGAACAAAACAATAGCGTGGCGTGGTGGCACATGCCTGTAATCCCAGCACTTGGGAGGCTGAGGCAGGAGAATGGTTGTGAGTTCAAGGTCAGCCTGGACTACAAAATGAGCTCAAGGCCAGCCTGAACTGCATAACGAGACTCTGTCTCAAAAAGACAAAATAAAATCTTTTTAAATGTAAACAAAATACCTGAAAGAGTGCTGACAATTGCACTTAAAAGGCAGGCTGACAGGGTGTAAAGATGAGGATTTTCAAATTCAAGTTCTGGAGAGCCTTTTAGAGTTCAGACTTCTAAAACTGAAGTGGTATTCCAGTCCTAAGTCTAAAAGTTTCCTGGAGGAAAAAAATTAAACACCTAAAAATGTGAAGGCAGAATGAAAGCAGTCACATACACTGTGGATGAGGAGCCAGCTTGCCAGCAGCAGCAGTCAGGAGGCTGAAGTTACTGCACCCTGGAAAATCGAGCAAGAAACTGCGGGCAGAAACTTACTCAAGGTGACTTTTTTTGGTGTGTGTAGTACTGGGGATCAAATGCCACTGAGCTCTGTTCCCAGCCACTTTTATTTCCTTTTTGAAACAGGGTCTTGCTAAGTTGCCCAGGTAGAATTCAAACCTGTGACCTTCCTTCCTCAGCGTCCCAGAGTACTTGGAGCACTCTGCCTGGTTTCAACATGACTTTTCTGAAGGCTTGAATTACATGCTGAATTCACAAAGGTATAAAACAAGGAGAGTTAATAAGCTGGAAGGTAGTGTAAGAATTACACGAAGTGGACACCAGATATGGAGGCAGCCTGGACTACACAGTGAGATTACATACTGTATAATCTTATAGTGAGACTATATCCAATTATATACTGTGTATCTGTAATCTCAGCACTCTACGAGACTAAAGCAGGAGAATTTTGAATTCCAGCCCAGCATGAGCGACTAAGCAACCCTGCAACACGGTCTCAAAAATAAAGGCTGAGAATGTAGCTGTATGAAGGTCCTGTATTCAACCTCCCAACACAAAAAAAACTAAGACACCCACAAAGTAGAACTTAACAGTAAGTTATCAATTTGAAAAACAGCTGATATTTAAAAGGATCATCACCAAAAGCACACAAAGGGCACAGATACACAATGGGAAAAGAGCAGGGTTTCCATTTTCGGAGGTCCAGCTCAAGGATGAGTGCTCTTCCAGCCAGCACAGCCCTGGCCACATCTGTAAGTGGGAGCTGGGCTGTGAATGGCACCCTCAAAAAGACACTCTGGCTGGGCACTGTGACACACTCCTGCAATCCTGCAATCCTATGCATGGCTGAGGCAGGACTGCCACAAGTTCAGGTCAGCCTGAATGACATAGCACGACCCCGTCTCAAAGAAAACAAAACACCCAAATATTCAAATGGG